TTTAAAATGAAGAGGGGTTATCATAGCATATATGTATGTAATAAAATTTTATCAGTAGACCTCACTTATGAAATAGGAAGCAGACCTTGCATGTAAGGTCCCGGCTGCATATACCAGTCAATACATAATCTGGCTACGTTACTGTTTAGGCGCATGCGCAATATCTCACCAGAGGAGTTATATTTTGTGTTGAAAATGCATTTAATATGGTCAGGGGGTATCTCAGCATATGTTTCTGTAATAAATTCTTATCAGTAGACCTGTGATTTTAATTAGGAGAGCGCCCTAGTCAGTAGGGTGCAAAACTACTACTTCATCCCCGCCCGCCCTTTTAGTCAGGGGGCAGATATCCAAAATAAGGATGAGCCTAAACTTTTTGGGTAGAGGCTGGAAACGGGTAAATATCATTTCTATGATACCTGGGGAGTTCCACTGGGTATGTTTCCAGGCTGACTTTTGCGTATTGTGGCGGCCATCTTGAAATCCAAAATGACCGCCAGCGAAAATGGATTTTCTGCATTTAAACCCCATAAGACCACCAGGATTATCCTAGTACATCCAAAAGACAAAATTGAAAACAAAAATACAACAGGCTGTGTGTACCGTATCGCTTGCTCGAATTGTGATAGCGTGTACATTGGGGAAACAGGCAGGAAATTTCGAACATGTCTAAAAGAACACATGACTGATGTCACCACTCATACAAAAGGAACCAGCACACCTGCGGCTCGTGCGTCCACTTCAGGACAACAGCATAAGTCAGCCATAACAGACCACATGGTCAACCAAAACCATCTGCCGAACTGGAAAGAGGCCACTGTGGTGTCAAAAGAATCGTTTCTGAGGCGCAGACAGATCAGAGAAGCAATATATATTTGCAGCTACAATGATTAGAGATGAGGGGTCGTACCACCTATCCCACATATATGACAACATCCTCAGAACTGCACCTGCTCGAGAGGACCGCAGACTGTCCCCCCCCCCCAAGTGACCAGGTTCAAACTTCTGTTTCCAGTGCTGCCATCTACCTGGAAACATCAGACCTGAGGAAGTCTATCCGGAGACATAGACGAAAATAATTAACTTAATAAATAATTTTTAACTTAATTTGGATCTAACTGAGATAAACTTTATTAGCATCTCATTATGTGAATATGAGCATGACTGAAAATTTAACTAGCATATTCACATTTTAACTTTATTTGTAATAACTGACTGTGAGAGTACTATGGATTCATATAAAATTCAGTCTATGAATAAATGCAGAAATCACCGTTGATCAGGGATTTCTTAAGAAATAACTACATGTTTGAGAGAAGCAACGAATTGAAGATAATAGCATACCAACTTATTGAGCTGTAGCAGTCCAGCCAATTCAAGTCCTACCCAATTGTAGTCTATCACAACCTTAACTTGGCCCGCATTTCTTCACAAATACAAAAATATGTTCATTGACATAACTTGCAGTCATATTTGCCAAAGGGTTTGCAGCAGTTCCTATAACTATGAACATCAAATATCACGTGCTTCGTTGGTTTGATGCCAGTATATCACTTTTTGGAGACAGGACTATCCCGAGTTATGACTCTTGCCAATAGACTGGTAACATCTCAATGCATTTTAACTCTTAGAAGTAAACTGCTGCAATGCAATGTGCATATTTAGGCTGGTGATTGTCACTCATTCATGAAAACGCTTCACCATAAAGTTGTTTCCCGGTTCCGGGTGAAGTCCCAGTTGCTGATAGAAGGGGATCATTGCATCTTTGCAATCCAATGTTGTCTTGTAGCACCCTATATACTCACTCAGTTTCAGCATCGTCTCAACCAACCTAGAAAACATGCCAGCTATAATATTATATATATAACCGTTTTTCTCAAAAATGGTTTTATAAATCGGGGACACGTGAGCCAAATCACTTTGCATTTCATTGGCTTGCCCCTATTACTTATTATTGAAAAACTATGATCGTAATTGTATATAAATGGATTGTCTGTCATTGTGGAAAGCAACTTAGAAATCTGTATGAAGCTGTGTGGTCATTAGTAAATTAAACATGTTCAATAAGGCAGCTTTTACATATATTATCCAAATGTACAAAATACACTACATCCCTTAATGAAATGACAGCTTAACTCACAGTTTTCCCAGCTGTTTTCCTCTCATTTCGTTACACACAACCACATCTTCAATGCGACCCCTCTGAAAGTAAATGGTACGTGACTTATAACTTAATGACGAAATGCATGTGACCTGTAATATTTAATGTATATTAACCCTAAATTCACATTAAGTGCATACGTCCATGTATATTGGATACTCAAATCATGAAGTGGAGGTGTATTGTCCGAATACTATGTATGCTATAGCTTTTAAATATCATTAGGTATCATCTCTTACTTGAGTAACAAGATGGTGACAAGGTGTAAGGTGGTCGAGAAAATTTTTGTTGCCTTGCAAAGAAATCCATTGACTGTATTGACCCCTTCCCCACTACACACACCCATAAGTCAGTACTGATCATTGGTACAAAATATTAGTTCTGCATGTCGGTACCCCCTCATTTTATATTTTCCTGTTTAATATCCTTTCTTGCTTCAGTATTCAATTCCTGAATGTGACCCAGAATACTACCTGATGATAAAAGCACTGCTAGTTTATTATAACAATTCTAACAACGTCACTTACTGTTGCACATCTGTGAATGAACTTGTTCTCAATCGCCATGGTCGCAGCGCCTACAACACGGTCGACGTTCACGTCAACGATCACGACGAGATAGTACGTGTCAGGACAGGCCTTCATCGATTTGTACCTCGCTGTAAAATGATCACCATCGCAAGAATATTCAAGACAAAGTTGTACCTAACCACATACATAGAAGATTATGTTAATCATATATAGCTAATTCATAGTGAAGTTATAAAACACAAATAGCACATAAAAACTGTTCACGCTAACAAATTTTACACCTAATGTACTTATGGTAACTGAACATGACAGTACATTATTTAATATAAGAACTCGGCAGCATGAGACAATATACTGTGCCATAAGTAATGTTTGAAATAACAACTCTTAAAATTATAATCCTACACTCACAATACAGTCTGTGGCAATTGTCATTAGCTGTAATCTGCTGCACATTTCGTGCTATATTATTATCATTTCTAGTATTAATTTGATGTTGCAGGATAGTACCATGATGATGAGAATAAATAACATTTTCATATTACATACTCACCTATGAAATCCTCTTGGCTAACGTCACCAACTTTAGTTAGTTGCCTGAGCAACTCTACAAAACCTGAAATTTGAAATGCAGCAAAATATAGCTTTTTTCTTCGTTTACCCTAGGTAAAGTGAATATTTAATTTTTTTTCCTAGGCTGAGATGTCGACCTAAGATACCCTGTGTTAAAAATATCATTTCTCATATTTTTCTTACTGTTTTGGTACTTATCAGTATCGCTTCCATAACAACAAGTGTCTGATTTAAAGCCAAGTCTTAGAATACTCATGCACAATAGTAAATGTGCCGAAAGATTTATGGCAACAGAGAATAGCAATTATTTACCATTTTATCGACATTCAATCTGGCCTGATTATAATGATAGTTACTTACCTCTAGCATAATCTGCTGGACATAGAGGTCGCATAATAAGATTTTCTCCAGGGTGTTCTGGGGATATCTTTGGGTTAAATTTTGCATTTGTACTGCTGAAGTCCAACTTTCTTAATATAGCACCATCAAATAATGGCTCTTCTTCTTCAATAGTCTGAAATTAAAATAAAGTTAAAAC